GTATGTATGTATGTATGTATGTATGTATGTATGTATGTATGTATGTATGTATGTATGTATGTATGTATGTATGTATGTATGTATGTATGTATGTATGTATGTGTGTATGTGTGTATGTGTGTGTATGTGTGTATGTGTGTATGTGTGTATGTGTGTATGTATGTGTGTATGTGTGTATGTGTGTGTCTGTGTCTGTGTCTGTGTGTCTGTGTCTGTGTCTGTGTCTCTGTGTGTGTGTGTGTGTGTGTGTGTGTGTGTGTGTGTGTGTGTGTGTGTGTGTGTGTGTGTGTGTGTGGTGTGTGTGTGTGTGTGTGTGTGTGTGTGTGTGTGTGTGTGTGTGTGTGTGTGTGTGTGTGTGTGTGTGTGTGTGTGTGTGTGTGTGTGTGTGTGTGTGTGTGTGTGTGTGTGTGTGTGTGTGTGTGTGTGTGTGTGTGTGTGTGTGTGTGTGTGTGTGTGTGTGTGTGTGTGTGTGTGTGTGTGTGTGTGTGTGTGTGTGTGTGTGTGTGTGTGTGTGTGTGTGTGTGTGTGTGTGTGTGTGTGTGTGTGTGTGTGTGTGTGTGTGTGTGTGTGTGTGTGTGTGTGTGTGTGTGTGTGTGTGTGTGTGTGTGTGTGTGTGTGTGTGTGTGTGTGTGTGTGTGTGTGTGTGTGTGTGTGTGTGTGTGTGGCTGTCTCACTTTCCTCTGGCATTCAACGTGTCCATACCGGAAATGTCCCCTCACATGAAGAGATTTGAGTCTGGAACTGTTTCAGTCCTCTCCGCATCAATGCGTGTCTATTCGATGACAAGATGCTCTTCCATCCCAGATTGGTTAGCTGATTTTTTTCATGTTTTCTTTTTCACAATTATCCACCGTCATTCTTCTTCTTTTGCCGTGTTAGTTTTTCAAATGAAGTTCGTTCGTTCGTTTGTTCGTCAGTTCGTTCGATCGTCTCACTTATACCAGGTTGTGGTTTCTTGTATTTTTTTTTTTTTTTTTGGGCTTCTCTGGTGGCTTGGTTGATGGATTTGTTGATCTGTATTGCATTTTACAGCTACACCATTTATCCACCTGTTTCTTGTTCTTTCTCCCACATGTTTTGCTGTAAAATTCTACAATAATTCAGAATTATTTTAACAATTATTTACAGTCATTGCACACGCATATTTCTACAGACTGGTGCCTCCACGTTAGATAAGACCCGCCTACCCGTCATTTGTTAGTTAGTTAGTTAGTTAGTTAGTTAGTTAGTTAGTTAGTTAGTTAGTTAGTTAGTTGGGTTATCATCAATGCACTCCGGACACGTCCATAGGTGCTTAGACCCTCCCCTCAGTATGAACCCCAACGTCCGATGGCTAATAGTACCGGTTATATGTTGATTAACAAGTCTTTTGGCGTGTCTGGTGTGCGTCTCGTGTTTTGCTATGCCGATCTTAATTCCCAAGTCTGCCATTCTGGCGAGTGATGTGGATTCATTGCCACCAAAGTCCTCTATCCTTCCCATTTCTCTGAGGGCATTGATAATATCAGCGTGATCCATAGGCTGACCGTCGGTATTGATAGCGGATCCAGCCAACATGTTCCATTTGTTCTAATGTAATGTCTGCCACAGACTGCAAAATTGTTAACAGTGATATTCAAGAAAAGATACACCGTAATTAACTTAGACACTTCTCTCCATTTCTTCCAGGTTTAGTTGGATGCGTATCCTTTACAGGACGTTGCACAAACCAACCCATCATTTTTTGGCTGTAGTGGTATTTATAAGCACATTTTATGTTCAGTAGTTTGCCACTGCTTTCTAAACGGTCAACTCTCAGTACTACTGTCGATATCAACACAAAACAAACCGTCAGCAGCTGTAATCGAAGGCGTTTGCAACGCCTGAGCCACAAAGCCGACTTCCGGGTATACATTCCTATTCCTCGACTACATAATATGTAAATACATGTTTGAGAAAGAGAAAGAGGGGAAAAAAAGAGGGGGAGGGGCTGTCTAAAGTACAAAACCCAGACTAAATAATGAAACTTGACTTCAGAACTAGAAGAAAGAAGGCGTATTCATAACGAGCCGTCATCTATCTTCGGCGCTGTTTTTGATCCCAGAATACATTCAACACTGAATGCAGGAAACACGGACAGAATTCCATTAACACTTGCAAGTGCATGTACAACTCTGTCTTCACTGCTCCCTGGAATGACGCCCCAGAGACGCGATGGATCCTGGGACTGTCACGTGTTGAAATATATTGCAAAATATTGACAGATACACTTTTATGATGACGTCATTGGCAGAAGCGACATGGCAGTCATATTTGATTCTTTAGCTTCAACTTTGTGTTTGAAAATGAATGTTAGGGTAAGGTATTCTCACAGCAATGCCTCTGCATTCTTCTTCTTCGTCTTGCTTCGCGCTCAAATGGTCCAACTGGGTAGTTATGCTTGTTCGACCATAACTTGAATTGTACGTGCACATCTGTTTTACATCTGTGTCTGGTTGTATACAGACTTAATTGCTTGCAGGCGCCAGCCATATGCACACCGACTTAGAGGAAAACACCCCTTGGTAGTCCAGTTTTACGACATACCTATTGGGAGTCTGCCAGTGTATCAAACAGTAAAAAAGTGAACGTCCATTTTCCACGCATTTTAAGCCTACTGGGAATATAGGGCGAGACCTATATGTTTTATAGACCAACGGCACTTGGTGGGTGATGTGGTTAGCACCACGCCGGTCGTTTTTACTTCCCAGGACTGCACATGGTACCCGCTGAAGGCTAGGTCGATCTGAGAGTAAAGGTCATTTTTGAAAAATGGCCGGCTCTGTCAGGATGCGAGCCCACGACCTTCCGATCTGCATCCTGCCAACACCATCTCCAAACCCTGAGACACTCTCCCTGCCCTCCATCTATCCCTGCCCCAAAGGGTGCATACCCTCGGTGCATATCTCAGTCTCGCAGGCAAGAATGGTTTCCTCACAGGGCAAACGGCTACCTTCCCAGTACGACCTGAGTGACACAGTTCACGGACACGCTGACAATAGTTGGCTAGCATATCCCTGGTATATGCGACTGCTCGGAACAGGGTTCTCTCGACGTAAACATCAAAACTGGCATGTCACTGGAAGCCAAGGCACAGAGAGAAAAAGAAAATGGTACATAGATGTGCTAATGATGAGAATACCGAGGGTCAAAATGGACGCCTGGCGCGGTTACTGTTTCGCGTCGAGGCAAATTTTTTGCTTCTGCCAGACGGTGGCCGTTGCATTTTTTATCCATTTGTAGACTGAAAGGATAGTTTCGTATAGCCAGCTACTGGGTTTAGTGCATGGCGCGACCCTGTGAGCTGCGGATTTCTTTTGAAATGTTTTTCGATTGTGACCAACGTGGTGTTGTGAACTGTAGATTCAGAAAATGGCGCGTGCCCTGTCGCAGCAATATTAGTGGTGCCCTTATGTGATTAATATTGATCGCGTGCGCAACTGCTGATGTGTTGGCGACTTCTGCTACCGTCGATGATGAACTGAATTTCTGTTGTCAAACTGTTTGTGTTAGCAATTCTGATGGCTGCCGTACGCTTTTAATGCGTGTGTATGCTAGTGCATATGCTGAGATAGCAGTCTGTCAATCTTTCCACAAAGGACTGTGACGAAAATTCTGTGTGTCTTTCGTTGGCACAGGAGTAACTATGGGGTGACTCGTTTGCTATGAAGCTGAAACTAAGATTACCAAGATTACCAAGATTACCGAGATTACCAAGATTACCAAGATTACCGAGGGAAGATCATAAATCAAGTAACTGGTAATCTCCTCCTCCTCTTCCTCCTCCTCCTCCTCCTTCTTCTTCTTCTCCTTCTTCCTCCTCCTCCTCCATCTTCTTCTTCTTCTTCTTCTTCTTCTTCTTCTTCTTCTTCTTCTTCTTCTTCTTCTTCTTCTTCTTCTTCTTCTTCTTCTTCTTCTTCTTCTTCTTCGCTAATGTTTTGAATAGTCCAGCTGCTTCAGCGTAGTCGATAGCGCTTTGGACGTCGGGTGACAATCCCCATGCGTATCCGGTCTCGGTTTCGAGCCCGGGGATGCAAGAAAAGCCGCACACTCGCCATACAAACGGTGTAGGTGGCACCGAGGCTGAAGCGTTTCGTTTCTTACGAAACTGAGCCAAATGAGCCACGCCCAATGCTTCTGGTTCATGATATCAACGGTGACACGTTTGATGGCATCTGTCCAATGCTCTGATTTGTATTAGTGTTCCATCTCTGTTGCTTCCATTTTTTTCTTTGGATGATATTATGCTCCCCAGACACTTGAAGACTTTTGCTTGCTGATTTCCTATAATGCAGGTCTTGATTGATTGTTCTATTCTTGCAATAGTCATAGCTTTTGCTTGTTGTTGTTGTGGTTTTTGTTGTTGCTTTAAAAAAAATGTATATGTAATCTTTATGTTCTAAGCCCCCCCCCCCCCCCCCCCCCCCCCCCCCCCCGTGTGGGATTTGGGGCTCTATTACAGGGAAAACAAGAATAGACCAACTGCCTACCCAAAAGCATGTCGCAAGAGTCGACTAATTGGGAGCTTCCTTCGAAGTCGTAGTGCATCTGCCTGAGAAGCAAGGAACCAGCAATCTGCATACATGAGTCAGAAGTGTAAAACGGATGCACACGCAACACTCAGGTTCTGGAACATGACTGCAATCCGAATGTGGATGAACAACCAGAACTTTCCACCAGAGTTTACAGCTCCTGAACACGAAGAAGAAATTGTTCTGAGCGTTGTCGGAAGGAATAATTTGCGATCCAGTGCATGTCGTCTTGATTTGTGTTTTTTTTAATTTGTATATATATCTTACTTTTTGGACGGCCAAAAAAAATGAGCTTAACTGATGCGCAGGTACTCAGACTTAACGTTATTACCTATTCAAATCTCTATTTCCAATCTATCTTTTAATGTATCCGCCGTTTTAACTGGTTATCTTTTTTCCCCTCTCAGGTCTGTACCCAACACCAATGTCTCCAGTGTGACTTCCATCGGCGCATTACATCTCCTGATGTGTCCAAAAATAAATTATTGATCTTACTTAATAATTCTCTCTTCATCTCTCGCTTGTGACCTCCACCTTTGAGGGTAACTTCCGGCTGTCAACTAAGTCAATGCGCAGCTCGGTTTGTAGCGCGGAGTCGTCCTCATCTTCCGGTTTATGATCCGACCACTGACACACGGTTGCCAGACTTTCCATTTATCACTGAATCATCCAGTGATATTCATCCATTTTACCTGTCCATCATTCCCCACTAGTACACCTACAGTGGCATACTGGTTCATACTGTTGCCTGTCGGGAAAATGGCCCGGGTCGATCCCCCTAAAAAAAGAGGGAGGGGGAGAGGGCGAGCGGATATAATTAACAAGGCGATCTGGTATGCTCTATAATACTGTGAAGAAAAACAAGGAGAACCTGTAGAATTAGAAGGAGGAGGAGGAATAGACAAAGAAGAATAAGCAGAAGAAGAAAGTAAGTATTAGTTGTCATCGTAGAAGTTGCAGCAGGAGTAGTTGTTGTTATAGTCCTTAAACCGCCCCCCCACCCCCCGACACCCACACACACAAACAAAACCCGAATAAAACATATCCTTCAAAAGTTTAATACTTTAAATAACCCAGAGATGTGAGAGATAACATTTATGTGGGAATAATATAAACCTTTCTCATCAAAATCTGGGTCGCTCCTATAAAAAGATCGTAATATATAACAACATCTTTTATCTAGCCTGTCTATGTTTTATTTTGTCGGTAGATACTCTGAGTTGGTTTTTATGTCAGCATCGATTCTATGCCTCCGAGAAAATCAGATCGTGATGGAATGAGCTTTCACAATGGCGCCGCAGAATTCACCCACCGAAGAACCTTTCAGGCGATTTGTTCCTCGATATTTTGTACTCCGACAAAAGTTCACACAGGTCTCTTCTCCCAGTGTGTTATACGGCTGAGTTGGTGTTTGTGGCCGAGCCCATTGATGGAATTAGGCATCAGCTTAATAATTAAGCCACAGTTTTCTGCCTCTGTAGGGGCCTCACACAATTTCTTGTACTTGATTGTTGGCAATCATGCATAGATTATGTTACGAAGGAAGCAACCACAAGGACAAGGACAGGCCTTTTTTTGGAACCTTCTTGAACACCTAGAGCAATTGGACTTTACAGAAGATATCTGTGTCATCAGACAAAGTAAAGAACATCTGCAACAAAGGACAGATAAGATCCCAGAAATAGCAAAACAGACAGAATCAATGTTAATAAAACAAAACTGTTGGAGATAAACCCCAAAAGTAATAGACCTACAGTAATAGATAATGCAGGTTTGGAAACAATAACTGACTCCACTTACATGGGAAGCAATATCTCCTCGGACAGAAATGTACTGGTTGAAATCAAGCAGAGAATTGCAAAGGCAAATGGTGCTTACAACAGACTTCAGAGTGTCTGGAGATCAAACATCTACAGCACTAAAACTAAACTCAGGATATACAAAACATGAGTTAGGACAGTTCTCCTGTATGGAGCAGAAATTTGGAAAACAGACAAAAAGATAGAGAAAATGCTCAGAGGTTTTGAGGGAAAACTTCTCAGAAAATTGTTGCGGTTCACATGGGAAGATAAATTCAGCAATTCTAGATTACAACAAATGACTTAGAAGATGTAAATTTAGAAATTAAAAAACGAAGATAGAGTATTCAGTTATACTTGTATGCTGAGGACCAGAGAAATTCTTGATCACTGTATCAACCATCCCAGAGGCAGAAGTGATGTGCTCCAGTGGACCGGACCTGGAAACAGATAAGTGGATCACCAGCGGTTGTGGTCACTCTTAACCCAAAGTGCCTAGTTCATTGTGCCATGATTCCATAACAGTGCTATGATGATCTTGGCTGCTACAGGGAGCAATCCTTGTTCTAGTCATATATGAATTGTCTTTCTTTCCTCAGTGTCATGGATCTCATTGAATACTTTTGCCTTATTCTTGTACTGGTTGAAATTATTACAATATGTTTTATTATATCTATCTTCTTGGTTTAGTGTCCATCCTTCACTGTTACTAGTTACCTGGTGTGTGTGCAGTATTGATATACTACCTGCTTAACTGTGTTATCTTGACTAGAATATGAGACTATCTAGTCTGGGGGCTTAATTGATGTAGTGAGGAAGTCAGGCCAAGTTGCGCCTAGCAATATTTTATGTTGTATAGTGCCATAATTTGAGTCGCCCCACCCCTGAAATAGGTTGGATGTGTATTGGAGCTGCGTGATTTCGCCTAGACCATTGCGAGCCGACATTCCAACATTTATAACTATTTCAGAGTGCTTTCGGTTCATTAGGAGAAATCCTTACCTAGTCACGTGACACGAGCAGTGTGTGACACTCGGTCAGTAACAAGCTATCACTTAGCGACGCCCGTGCTCGCGCGCGCACACACACACACACACCAGCACACACACCCTCACGCATGCAGACACGCAGGCATGCAAGCACGCACGCAAACAAACACATTAAAACATGAGATATGTAAAGCAGCAAAAAGCAATGAGCAGATTAAAAAAAAAGATTTGGGAGAGGGGAAGCTCACAATGAAAACAAAAGCCGCTGTTTATCAAACCTGAACCCTCTGCGCTCTTCTGTGAGGTAGTGACACTTTGTCACCTCACTGGAAAAAGTTAAGGTGTATTAAATCAACAAACTGTGAACAGCTAATTAATCTACAATGTCTCCTTAATCAGTCCCAAATTAAACCATAAACGTAGATGTGGACCGAGATGCGGTCAACAGTTTATCGCTGCCTCTCCATGGTGTTGAGAAGGTTGATCTTCTGATCATCCGATAATCTGGAGACGTTGTCTAAGCGCGGATACAGTCCCTTTTCGCTTATCTTTTCATTATGTTTATGTGTTTATCTTTTATTCAACGGATCAATAGCATCGCATAAGGGTAAACCCATAAGTGTTCCATTCATCTCCTAACTCAAGCCTGAGCCTGAAGAGTCTCAGCGCAGTGCACGAACTCCGTTGCTCCGTTATCTTCTATCAAGGTTGAATGACCAATCTGTTCGTTCCTTTAGATAAGTAAGAATCACCAGAGCACAGAATGGCATGTCCACGGCTTCTACAGCAGATACCACCATCACCATCACCATCACCATCACCATCACCATCACCATCACCATCACCATCACCATCACAAAACACCTAACATCGGCTACAGCAATATCAAACGGATGTGTCGAGCCAAAGGGCGAAAATATCGCAGTCTAGAAGTAAGCCACAACACAACGTAGCAAACTCCCCGAAGAAGAAGAAGAACAGGAAGAAGAAGAGGAAGAAGAAGAAGAAGAAGAAGAAGAAGAAGAAGGAAGAATAAGAATAAGAAGAACGAAGAAGCAAACTCCCCGAAGAAGAAGAAGAAGAAGAAGAAGAAGAAGAAAGAAGAAGAAGAAGAAAGAAGAAGAAGAAGAAGGGAAGAAGAAAGAAGAAGAAGAAGAAGAAAGAAGAAGAAGAAGAAGAAGAAGAAGAAGAGAAGAAGAAGAAGAAGAAGAAGAAGAAGAAAGAAGAAAGAAGAAGAAGAAGAAAGAAGAAGAAGAAGAAGAAGATAAGAAGAAGAAAGAAGAAGAAGAACAAAGAAAAAGAAGAATAACAACAAAGGAGAAGAAGAAGAAGAAGAAGAAAGAAGAAGAAGAACAAAGGAGAAGAAGAAGGAAGAAGAAGAAGAAGAAGAAGAAGAAGAAGAAGAAAGAAGAAGAAGAAGAAGAAGAAGAAGAAGAAGAAAGAAGAAGAAAGAAGAAGAAAAAAGAAAAGAAAAAAAGAAAGAAAAAGAAGAAGAAGAAAGAAGAAGAAGAAGACGAAGAAAAAGAGAAGAAGAAGAAAAAAAAAGAAGAAGAAGAAAGAAGAAGAAGAAGAACAAAGAAGAAGAAGAAGAAAGAAGAAAGAGAGAAGAAGAAGAAGAAGAAGAAGAAAAGAAAGAAAAGAAGAAGAGAAGAAGAAGAAGAAGAAGAAGAAGAAGAAGAAGAAGAAGAAGAAGAAAAGAAAGAAGAAGAAGAAGAAGAAGAAGAAGAAGAAGAAGAAAGGAAAAAGAAGAAGAAAGAGAAAGAAGAAGAAGAAGAAGAAGAAGAAGAAGAGAAGAAAAGAAGAAGAAGAAGAAGAAGAAGAAAGAAGAAGAAGAAGAAGAAGAAGAAGAAGAAGAAGAAGAAGAAGAAGAAGAAGAAGAAGAAGAAGAAGAAGAAGAAGAAGAAGAAGAAGAAAAGAAAGAAGAAGAAGAAGAAGAAGAAGAAAGAAGAAGAAGAAGAAGAAGAAGAAGAAGAAAGAAGAAGAAGAAGAAGAAGAAGAAGAAGAAAGAAGAAGAAGAAGAAGAAAAAAGAAGAAGAAGAAGAAAGAAGAAGAAGAGAAAGAAGAAGAGAAGAAGAAGAAGAAGAAGAAGAAGAAGAAAAAGAAGAAGAAGAAGAAGAGGAAGAAGAAGAGAGAAGAGAAGAAGAAGAAGAAGAAGAAGAAGAAGAAGAAAGAAGAAGAAGAAGAAGAAAGAAGAAGAAGAAGAAGAAGAAGAAGAAGAAGAAGAGAAGAAGAAAGAAGAAAGAAGAAGAAGAAGAAGAAGAAGAGAAGAAGAAGAAAGAAGAAGAAGAAGAAGAAAGAAGAAGAAGAAGAAGAAGAGAAAAAGAAGAGAAGAAGAAGAAGAAGAAGAAGAAGAAGAAGAAAGAAGAAGAAGAAAAAGAAGAAGAAGAAGAAGAAGAAAAGAAGAAGAAGAAGAAGAAGAAGAAGAAGAAGAAGAAGAAGAAGAAGAAGAAGAAGAAGAAGAAGAAGAAGAAGAGAAGAAGAAGAAGAAGAAGAAGAAGAAGAGAGAGAAAGAAGAAGAAGAAGAAGAGAAGAAGAAGAAGAAGAAGAAGAAGAAGAAGAAGAAGAAGAAGAAGAAGAAGAAGAAGAAGAAGAAGAAGAAGAAGAAGAAGAAGAAAAAGAAGAAGAAGAAGAAGAAGAAGAAGAAGAAGAAGAAGAAAGAAGAAGAAAGAAGAAGAAGAAGAAAAAAGAAGAAGAAGAAGAAGAAGAAGAAAGAAGA